GGATACACAAACAATGCAGATGGCTCCAGCCATGACTTTTATTCCTGCACTGTTGGTGGCCGTGCATGGACCAGTGCAGCATCCATGGGCATACAGGGGACAGAGCCCATCTGGGCAGATGAGGTGGGAGGGCCAGGCCTGTGAATCTGTCTCCAGCTGCACAAACGAGTTATCAGAAGACAAAATTGGGCGTGAGTTTGCTGGCCAAATGCGTGCTCTTGTCCCGGGACCAGTATGGGTAACGTACCTGAGTTTGACTGAGGTAGAAGTCACTTTGCGCACACCCTGCAGTACAGGCCTGGAGAGGGCAGTTTCCAGAGAGCAGCCGACGTGGTGTAAATTCACACCATCATTCACCCCATAGAGCCGTGCCCTACAGCCACTTCCTGCTCTCAGGTGAGGTCAGATGGCATGTCCACCATCACTTGTGCAGATATCGCCAACTTCCCATGCCCCTTGGTGGAATAAAGCCTTGTGTTACTTCTGGAGATGCTGGGAAGAAAGAGAAATGTAATTGAAAGTTTAAGGGGGATGTTTTTTCCCCGTATCTTCTAGCCTTGTACTATTCCAAGTAAACTTGTGTTTTTCTGTTCTCTTTCCCAATACCTATGACTCTTGTCTGGTGGTGAAACTGCTGAGAGCAGCTGGGGGAACAAGGGCATTTTTATTGCCCCACGCTGGAGAAGGCCTAATTCTTTATTACACTGTCTTGTGTTAGCTTTGCCAAACTCAACAGTCATGCCAGTGATAGATCTCTCTCAAAATTGGAAATAGTTTCTATTGTGATTTATTTTTCAAGAAAATGAGTGAACCTATAAGAATTCCCTGTGTTTCCCTCTACGGGATATAACTTCAGTTGTTTCACCACTTCTAAGAGTAAACTAACTCCATGTTGAGTTATTCATGACCCCTTCTCAGCCAGGCTGATGCATATCTGATCACTTCCTGAGTCTGCTGTGAGGAATAAATCAAGTGTCTCCCTTTGCGCTGAGTGCTGGCACATCACAGAGTTTCTCTGAGACTCTACAAAGCAGAAAAAAAAAATCCAACACAAGCCAGAATTTGTCCCACATCCCAGATGAGCTACCCAGCTTTTTAGCTCTCAAACCAACTCTCCTCGCTGCGCCTCTGAGCCCTGATGCTCTTCTTTATTCCACCTCCTAAAAACTCATTTCTTTCATCCTGCCCATACATAATAATGTATGGCGATCAGCCAGGATGTAACACGCTGCACTACATCACCGTCTGATTGTATCGCTCTGTCCCTGGAGCTTTCTCACTCTTCCCTTCTTAACGCTGTGCTACACTGAGTCATGTCTACAGTAAATTTACAGATGGTAAATAGTTGAGGCTAGTATCCAGCTTCTCTGTGAACCACCTGGGGTGCTCTGGGCTGGAGTAAAACGCTTGGGAGCAAAAGGAACCATGGACAGCTTGCCTTAGCCACTAAGCAGGGATGACAGGAGTAAAACGTTTGTTCTCGACCGTAAAGGTATCTTACGGAAGGGTCACAGCCGGAGCACTGCGGCAGACAGCCCAGTGCTGCATCGAGATTGAACCCTCCAGGGTTCAATCAATCCACCTGCTACTACTTCTGCTTTTATAGGATTCCTTTGATGCACAGCGGCTTAAAAAATGCATGAGGTTTGAAGGACATCAGCACCAAGAGGATCTAAGCCAGATGAATCCCCTTTCTGAACGTGCAGGCACCTTGTAGGCACTGGGTGAAGAAAGAGAGCTTCACAAGGTCCTACTCAAAGCAGGGAGTCCTGAAGGAAGATCTTGAGTGACAGTTCACATTCAAGAAGCAAAAAAGCTGGTGTGAAGGAAGGTGGAAAGCACCTCCTAGAGGGAGGGAATAAAAGTTAGAGGTGGGAAAAACAGAAGACGGAGGGGGAAAGAAAAGAAAAAGAAGAGCCATGGCCAAGCCTTGAGTCTGAAAGACAAAATTCATGCAGGATAGTGACATTGGTCAAAATACTGGTGATGGTTTTGGGGAGGCAGCTCCGACAGAGAGCTGTGACAGCCAGGCAGATTTCTGCCAGCTTCTGCCTGGCCCAGCCCGAGGAGGTACAAAATGAACCTCATCAGCCCTGACAGTCTTCAGGGTTTCAGAGGAAGAACAAAATAGAAAAAAACCCCAAAAAATATTCCAAGCTCTTTTTAATGTTTTCATTAGAATACAATGGTGTTAACCTGTTTGAGGCTGGGAAATCGAAGTCTGAGCTTTTTCTGAGCAACATGCTCCGGTACAAGCCTAGCCAGGGGAAAACCCCGGCTCAAATTCCTTCTGAATTTGAATTGAGCCAATGTGGGATGTATATGTTCAGGGTGGCCGTTAGGTCTTTACCCCAGGACTAGCTCTGGAGGTGGCTCCATGCAGCTGCAGTCCTGATGTTTCCACGTAGCCCCTCACCTTTGCTTCGGAGGAGATGGAGACTCCCCGTGCCTGCTCACATGGAGTGAGGACCTGCCAGGGGACCTCCACATGGCTGTAGGGCACGTCCCAAAACTGTCAGGATCCTCTGCAGCAGCAGGAAAGGTCCATCTCAGAAGTCCACTAAATACGCAAGAGAAAATAGTGTCCCTGCAATCCCATGAGACATAGGCAGAGAGATGCAGATGCTCTGCATGGAGAACAGGCTCCTTGAGTTAAACTATGTGGTTTTGGTACCTTCCTGTGCCTTGTGGGCTCTTTTTAGATTCTCCAGAGCACCCCAGCATTTCTGCTGTCACCACCAAGGTTTATTTTCACATCGCTTGTTCCATGTGAGTAAAAATTCCATATCTTAGCCTCTGGTTTTCCCATAGTTAGATTACTGCCCCCAGAAATAGACCAGTGGGACCAGCGACCTGTCTGCATTGATCTTCACAGCCTAAAGTGGAGGCAGCCAGGGTGGGCTAGCTCTGAAAACTGCCTCTTCCATCTACCTGGTTGGAACCAAGGAGAGCTGGTGCGTTGCAGATGAGTTGGGGGTTTCCACGGGCCGCAGCTTGGGTGTTCTGCACAGACAGAATTCCCTCTGCTCCAGAGAGCAGAGGGCTGGGGCAAAACCACCAGGGAATAAACACAACTGTGTTACCCACTTACCTCAGAAAAGCTGGAAAGTTTGTGTAAGAGCTTTTATGGGACCTGCCGAAACCACTGGAAAAGCAGAAAAAGCCTCTGGCTCGAGGTCTTGCCTGCAGGCTGCACTCGAAGTCTGTGGCAGGGCCACCGGCACTTCTGCTGTCGCCCTCCTGGCTTTGTGGTGGCAAACAAATGACACTAAAAGTGGGGGGGAGCTTCACAGTTTTGCAAACTTTCCGAACCTACGTGCAGCTGCAGAAGTGCTGGTTCCGCAGAGGGCAGCAGCTCGTTGCAGCTGCAGAAGATGCTGCTGCTGTGTTCAGCTAAAATCCATCTGAAGTTGTAGGAACTCCGTTCCCTATGGCTATATCATAATCCCGGAGCTAACCCCTGTTGTGCCACGCTGTCCCGGTGCAAGTTTGGGACTGAAAGGTGGATAACGCAAATTTTCTGTGGTTCCTTTTTCCCCTAAAGGTTCCCAAAACAGGTTAGAGGAGCAAAGGCTTTGTATAAAAGGGTAATTATTCACAGAGAAATTAATTCTAATTAAACACATAAGGTGTTGACGAGTAAGAAAGGTGCTTTAACCAAAATAATCAGGTGTTTTCTGTGAGGCTTTTTTGTGGGTAAGATGCAGGGAGCTGCAGAGCCTAGAGAGGACCAGGCCCAGCCACTTCCCAGAGGAGTTGGAGGGCTGGAGGGAGAATTCAGCCTCCTGTCCCAAGGGTGAAGGGGGTGTTTTCATGGTGCTTGGAGGGGGAAAATGGATTTCAGTGTTTCTAGACATTTATTGATTTATTCATACTTTCGTGAGCTCACTTATAATATGTGCTTCTTGAGGAGAAGTGTCTTTATCAAACCCTTATATTGAAGTTTCACATTTCTTTTAAATAACTTTGCTGTGGCGATATGCCGTTTCTTTGCGTTTCCCAGCCCGGTGTTTGTGAAAAGTGGGGTTTTTAACTCATTTCTCGAGCTAGCCCAGCAGTTGCCTGCTGGGTTAAGGGCCAGTTCTTTAATCTTTTTATTTCACCCTGGATTGCAAAGTGCTTTTTGTCTGCGTAAAACCTCCCCAGCTCTCAGAGAGAGCAGTGCCTTCGAGATGAGATCAGACACCTGGGCTGGAAATGAGGTGTTTGATTTGATTTTTGAAATTCCCAATCTTTTTAAATTGCTTGAGCCCCACTGTGTATTATTTTAAAGCTCCTTCTGGGTTCAGAGCCCAGGGGGTGATGCAGAATGGGAGAGGCAGCATGAAAGGGAAGCGGGTTTGTGCACCAGCTCAGAGCTCCACTCTTCAGTCCAAGGCAGAAATCTCTGTGTTTCAGGGAATATTCTGCAGACAAAAAGCAAGTGAGGGATTTTTGGCCTAGAAAAGGGGAAGAAAACCCACATCTTTTGTTTTTACCAGAATTTCTCTTTACCAGTGTAGCCAAAGTTACAAGCCCGGGTAGCAAGTAGCTGAGCAGACGGCGATTGAATAGACAATCCATCCTCTAACAGACAAATTTTATTGAGTATATGAACAATTAGGCAAAGCAAAGCAGTGATGTCCAGGCTCCAAAACCAAGATCTCACCAGGCCGTTGGCCAGGCGTCCTGGGAGTCTGGGGAACCCGGAGATAGTTGCTACAAAGGTCTGTGTGGATTCAACTCCTTTAAGTCCATGGTAATCACAGGGTCTTTCGTTCTGCTCGTCTTTTATCATCTCTCCAAGTCTTTGAGGCTTTTAACACCTCTGCCATCTTCAGTGGGTGCTTTTCCACGCTCAGGCGTTACATTCCCTTCCCTTTTCTTCCAAAGACACTGTCCTTGGCTTTTCTTGTCCCTTTTTCCTTTGCTTAAGGAGTCTTAAATCACACAAGATCAGCTTCTTCACATAGCATTTGGGGATGGGAGGTTCAAAGACAAGTTACTTATGCTAACTCTTGCTTTTTTACAGTGAGGGTGATCAAACACTGGAACAGGTTTGCCCAGAGAGGTTGTGGAGTCTCCATCTGTGGAGACAGTCAAAACCCACCTAGAGCAATCTGCTCTAGGTGGCCCTGCTTGAGCAGAGGGGCTTGGACTAGATCATCTCAAGAGGTCCCTTCCAACCTCAACCATTCTGTGATTCATGCCAACCACAGGCTGCGTGGCCTGCCCTCCCCTCCTGGATGGCCCTCTTGTAACAGAGGAGGCCATCCCTCACATCAAGGTCTGGTATGGCGTGTGTCCCCACCGCTCAACGCCTACTGGGTTGCAGCCAACAGCGGAGCTAAAAGTTCTTCTTGGTGGCAAACACAGAGGCCAACCCAGTCTTGCCCTTGACTATGGTAGGAGGCGCTTGGCCAGCCCCAGTCCTTTCACCTGCTTGTCAATGCAGAGCTTCACCTGCCTCATCCAGTAACAAGTCGCTACCATGGCAAAGCACACACAGATTTGCATTAGCAGTATAACTACAACAGGGTGCAGCAGCGTGTTGAAGATGCCGGTGGCCGTGGGGGACCAGCCGAAGAAAACTTCCCACCAGTGGTGTTCTCCGACTCTCTTAATTCGTTCCATTACCTGTTTTATAACATTGCCATCATGATGTACAGTTATTAGGATCTTTTTAGCTTCTGCCTTAGCATTTTCTAACAGCTGCTGTAAGTTTGCGTGCTCCAACATTTCTTTTACAAGTGACAAATCCATACCGATGGGGGTTGGGGTTATACTACGATACAAGGTATAGTTTCTGATTAGTAACTGGCTAGTAAACACGGGAGGTTTGTACACAAAATCACAGCCTCTAATGATAGCTACGTTGCAAGCACACATATTTGAGTCGTTAAACACGGTCTGATTATAAACTTCATTAATTTGCACGTATTTACACATCGTTCTAAAGCACACGCACCCTTT